TTGGTTTATTTAAATTAAATAATATAATTAATTCAGTAATATCTTATATCACTTTATTTGCCACTACAACGAGCGTTAACAGTAACTACGTAGGGTCTTAACGAGATGTTCGACTTCCCTAACCTTTCCTTATAAACAGGATACCTATGTAATGTATGTAAAAAAATGGGACTAGGTATTAGTTCCAGAAAGTAGTGCGTAATAAACAAAAAAAAAAACAATGAAACTTCTGCTTTATATATGTGTTGAGTATATTTTTTTATATATACCTATTTATACCTAAAAAATTTATTTATACAAAAAAAACTTCATATCACACACACTTTGGCATTTTTAATTAATTAAATTAATTCTTACTGTTGATGTTAACAAGTTCCCAGATTATTAATTATTATGTATTATTTTAGAGAAAATATAGCGAAATCCTATTTAAAATCATATATTTTATAATTACAAGATTTACAAACTCTGTATACAGGTACAAATATGTACTTATTTAAAACACGTAAATTAAACTTTAGATTTGAAATTTAAAAGAAACATTTTTTGGCCTCAAATACGAACTCCTCTACGAAGTTTTAGATTAACGCATTTTCTTAGTTTTTACTAATTTTATATTAGAATGTATGTATATGTAAAGAAATTTGTTTGTTAGATTTAATATCTTAAGATATACCTATGCATCAAATGTTGATGGTTATACTAGTAGCATATAATAAAAGTACTTAGATATGTATAAGCTTAGAAGTGGCAGTTCTCCATCTATTTGAGAGGCGTATTTATGACTGGAATGATGTCGGGACACTACTTGAAAAACATAAGCGATAACCTGAAATAAGGTAATATATTTATCGAAATAACCCCGTGATTAAGCAATCGCTTCATATAAAACTATGTTGATAATTTTCAATTTAGGGCAATTAAATTATTAATTAATTTAATCATTTATGTCAGTCAATATTTACAAAAAGATCTTAAATATGTAAACAGATGCCCATAACACATATACCTTAAAAACTATATATATTAATTTTAAAACTTAAAAAACTAATTAAAATTTAATGTATATTATGTGCGTATGTGTGTAAATAAATTAAAAAAATAATGATGTTTAACTAGACTTTTATAAGTATTGGTAAATCGTTAATTTAATTTAAATAGAGTCAGTGTAGTCAGTCCATATAGAAGCTATCCCATCAAAAACATAAATGTGAAAATGGGAGCCAAGTTCAATATTAGGTATAAGAGTGGTAGTCAACTTCACCGACAAAAGAATTGAGATCTAAATGGGTGCCAAGTTCTGTAGATAATCCTGATTTTTTTTTCATAATATCATACAACATTCTAAAATAAATTTAAAACACAATTTCTTGCTTTTTCTGCTACAAAAGTGTGTGCTATTTAAAAATAGAAGTTCTTAAATTTGAACAGTCGAATTATTTACACAGATTAGATAACTTAGGATAAATTGAAGTTCAAGATTTGACTTGGCTAGTTATTATCAGTAAAGTAAGTTTTTAGAAGAGTGAGACATGTTGCCCTTGCAATATAAAAACAGTAACTTGCGTATAGCATAAAGAAGATATAAGTGATTAGTCGAATATAAGATAACTTGTATGTAATGGTGCTTGTATGTGAAATGCCGATTTTTATACGTTAATATCTCAATGACCGTTTGAGCTGTATTTATAAATTGATGATTTTTAATAAATGAATCAAATTTTATGAGTTTATATTAAATAGATGTTGAGTTATTACGAGGTGAAAAGTGGTTCTAAATGGTTCGTTTAAATATACACACGGTGCTGTGTCGCCAGTTCCTTTGGCTTGCACGTGGCTGGACACGCTACCGGGTGTCTTGATCTGGGAAATCTTTTTAGTACCCAATGAAGAACTCTACATGTTGAAGAATACTTGCAACATGCATGACAGTTTCATTATAAATGCTTTAACTATCTATTACCATGATGTATCTACAAGTATATATCTCTCACGGGGAAACGTTCCTTCGAAATAATGTAATCAACTTTACAATTGGTCCCAATTGTTTTTGGGTGCAAGGCCATTCGTTCCTGTACCATTAAGGAACTGCCTACTTATAAATTATTATTGGCCTAACGATGTCCTGTTGACGTTATGATCTCTGAAACGAAATTTAATAATAAAATATTTAATAACACAAGTTTATTTCCTTTGCTAACAAATAACAGTCAATTATCTCCTCAGGAGATACAATGCCACATACAAACACATAGACAGACAGAAATCAGCTAATATAGGTATTAATAGATTCATGGTAAAACAAACCACTTTTAAAAGCAAGCTTTTTAAAGTTATTTTCTTCTTTTTAGCGCATTACAATAAAAGTTTGTTTTTAAAAATGTTTTTTTACTACATATTAAGTTATTATCTATTTTTTTAGATTACATTCATGGTGTTTACAAGGCATGGTGTGGGTGCACTATTTAAGTCAACTGAATCATAATTGAATGCGTATACAAAGGGATATGCAACTTTTTATATTATTTTATCATTATTTTTACTTTCGCCAGTAATTAAACTTATATTAAAACTAAGACACTAAAAAGTCTGTTTAAGAAGAAACCAATTTGCTAAACCATACAAGAACAAGATATGTATATTGTGTTTGCTATTCCTTTTTATCAGGCATTCTTATTTAATAAATACTAGGTAGCCGTAGGTACTTTATTCTACTCAATCACTACTATAGTGACTTGTCACCCTCCTAATCATATATAAATGTTACTGCGATATTTGGTTAGGGGATCTGGGTATCAAAAAGTACATTTCGATTTTAAAGAATATCCACGTACAAAGTCATAGAACATATAAAAATGGGTTAACTTATAATTCAGAGATAGGTTCATACAAAAAGTTGTATTGTCATTTCGTGTTTGTGCCGTTGATTTCTAAGTAGATCTCTTTTGACCTGGGTGCAAGAGACAAGTCATGGTGGACTTAGAACTGCTCCTGGTACTTCTTTGATAACAGAGTGGACTCTTGGAGCTACCGGGGGCCGGGGGCGTCGTAGTTGAGTGCGTATAAACGATCCTGCGACGCCCCATTAAGACGGCGAGATTTCGTTGGGCTTAGTGGGTAGTACTAGCGTTGCCGGTGAGTCCCACATAAATCATAATCACCTGTATGTATGCAGGTGGTATGACTAAATGCACTTCCCAACGAATAGAACGAGCTATTATAATTAATTATACTCATACAAAGATGATGCTGTCATAGTAGATTTTGGAACGGACTATAATATAATTGAATACGTAAATTTCGTGCCTGAACCTCTTCGTCTGAAGCCAATCCATGGTCATAATTATTATAATAAAAAGTCTTTGTCATTGGAACTCAATCAAAATGTAAAATTTCAACTCTGTAAGGTACGAGGAAGTGGTTCTTAATTCAGCTTGCAAGATTTGACTCATACAAATATACCAACTAACAAACATTGCAAGTTAAAATTGATGACACGTTTGGCTCAGTTTTTAGTGACCCTACTTGTTGTGCCAGCGACCGCGGGTTCGAGACCCGCTGGGGGCATTCAATTGTGTGATGAGCACGAATGTTTGTGTTCCGGTCATGGGTGTTATATGTGTATTGTGTAGTGTATCAACTATCTAACATAGAAATAGATGGTGCTGTGTGTTAATCACCCAACATATTTATTTATTATTTACTAACGACTTCCCCTCGTTCCGCTCGGGTTCATCTCTGGTTGCGTTTAACGTATAGTATAGATTTTTACAGAGATGTGATATTCACCCGCAGTAAATAGTATCCTATATGTTGACCTGGATAATCAGCTATCATCATAATTCATACCAAATTTCATCAAAAGCTATCTCTCGTGATGCGTTCCCAGACAGACAGACAGACGATAATTCTAAAAACTATAGATTCGGCCATTTAATACATAATAATGACTATTTCAATAAATTTTCCAAAAATATTTCATTTACATTAATGTACATTATTAATTAGTAAAATAACTAACGATCATATGTAACATATAGTCGATCGTACATTGTTCAAGTCCAAATTTGGTATTACCTAGATATTAAAGCTGATATTTACGGTACTGTTATGATATAATTGTAATTAAATATACTCAATACTGCACTACGGGAAACAAGGCTTTCCGGGTTCAAATAAATGGACGAAATGGAGAAAGAATATCTCTCTCTATCTCGTTGGTCTAACTAGTAGTATGTACGGTCTAAGATCATGAGGTCTGCAGTTGGTCATTACATACATTTTTCTGTTAAGAAATACTCAATAGGCCGCGATACTTCTAAAAATTTGAAAACTTGGCGATGTTCACCTTCTAATTTTTTTACAACTTACGTACTCTTGTAATTAGTAATAATAAGCTATGGTTATAATAATGTTTGCAGACCGATTGTCTGTAATAATAGCTGCCAATCTCAAAACCTTAAAAGTCAAGATTTTTTGTGACTGATAAGTTAATAGCGTATAGAAAATTCCTATTACGGTTCGAAAACTACAAAAGTTTTAATTAAAAGTTATAAAGCGACAGGAAAAAAACACGCAAGAAATTTATAGTTCATTTTTTGCATATATTACTTGTTACTTTTTTTTAAACTGCTGTATTATAAAAACGATTTCTTGTAAAACAACTTGAAAAATATAGGAACAGGTTTATCAAAAAGGGCTGGATTACCAATAAAAAAATATATATAAATAAAACACTAAAACAAAGTTCAACGTGTATTTCATACAGAATATTTCTTTTGGAAAGTCGTGATGATAGAAGTTGCATTCGAGTTTGTTTGCGCACTCTTTGCCGAAGTTGCAGGGCTTGGGGTGGTAAAGTGCCACGCGAGTACATTAAAAAGTTAAAACGTCTTTCTATAAAACAACTTGAAAAATATAGGAACAGGTTTATTAAAAGGGCTGGATTACCAACTTTTTTTTTAAATAAAACACCAAAACAAAGTTTAATGTGTATTTCATACAGAATATTTCCATTTTGGAAAGTCGTGATGATAGAAGTTGCATTCAAGTTTGTTGGCGCAGGCTTTGCCGAATCTGCAGGGTTTGGGGTGGTAGAAGTGGCACGCGGGGTTCACGCAGTTCGGGTAAAACTTGCACATGCTGGGAACGATCGCAGATATCGACTTGTAGTTAGCTGCTGGTACCACGTGGGATGCTGGAAATTATGATAGTGAAGTATAACCTAACACATACTATCGTAAGATCCGATTAAGTAGCACTACTGAATGATTGGTTGCGTAAGTTTTTTTATTATATAATTTTCCTAATATTAAGTGAACTATGTTCTTTTTTGGAAATAAATGTCTTTAAACCTTAAACTTCTTTAAAAACGTCGTGATTTGAAATTAGATGAAACGTAAATGCGTCACTAAAAAGAGACCAAAACCAAATATATAGGATTAAGCCGGCGAGAGAATGAGATAAAATACATTACAAAGGTAGGAAGGAAAAATAATATTCTACAATATGTTATGTAATATATGTTAAATAAAATGTGAAATAACTTTTAAACTTCGTAAAAAAACTAAACTTATTACTTAAAAAATGAATATTTATTTTTTCCTTTATTATCATTAAAAGTTTTATATACATATTTTTCAAGTAAATATAACATTAAAAACCTCAGAGATTTTTCTAACGCTACATTATCCGGTACTAAATATATTACTGGAGTATTGTAATGTATTCAGGCCTTTTTAACGTCCCACTGCTGGGCACGGGAGGCCCGTTCAATACGAGGGGGATCAGACCATAGTCCACCATGTTGGACAAGTGCGGGTTGGTGGACTTCACATCACGTCTTTTGAGAACTTGCCAGGCCCTCTCAGACATGCAGGTTTCCTCACGAAATTTTCCTTTAAGCTGAGTGGTAATCATGTTGGAAATGGTTCTCACATGAAAATATCAGAGGTGCGAGACCTGGGATTTGAATTCGCTTCACTCGGTTTCCCAAGTGAGCGCGTTACCGCTGGGCTACCACTGCCTTTTACTGTATTACATGATATGTATTTCTATCTTTTAAGTACAGAAAGAATATTTCAAAAGAAAGTTTCATCGAGTTTCAAATCATACTGATTCTAAAGAAGTTTCACGCCATTAAAAAAAAGGAACTTTCACTTCAAAAACTATAAAAGCTCACCGAGCGCCAGCGGAGGCTCAGTAGCCGCGAGCACCGTGAGGGGGGCGGTCGGCGCGGCGGGAGCTCCCGGCGCGTGCGAGTAGGGGCAGCCCCGGCGCGTGCACGCCGCCGCGAACTTGCAGCGCGGGTGCGAGAACGCGCACGCCGCGCCGTACCGGCACAGCGGGAACGCGCGACACCATACCAACTTACGCTCTGCTTGGGATACTGGAATATGTCGTCTTCAGTGCTTATTTGTCCAAGCGATCAATTTACCGAAAGGGTTTTTGAAATGAAAACTTCTATAGGCAGGTTCAGATGGGGAGTGAGTTAATGTAAGTCGTCATCGACATGGTCACATGACATGTTAACGCTAACACTCAGAGTGCCGATAGATGTCAAAACCAGATAAATGTAAACAGTTTTAATATAAAAATTTTAATTTAAGATCAAACAATTAATTTGAACATCCAAAAATAACAACTGTTTGTTTTTTTGTTTTCACTTAACCTGTCGGCAATCCTCATTACTGTTTTTAATACAGAGTTATTGACTTTTAAATGTCCATTCTATTGGTATTAATTTGGTTCTCTACTTATTTATGTGTATGTCTATATGATGTGACTTCTAATTAAATCGTCTACTTTATAAATTAGTATGAAAAACACTTACATGGCGGCAAAGAATCATATTTATGAGAATTCAAACTCGTTGTCAAAGTCACACTATCACTACTGGCGCTAATTGTTCTCTCTCTTACACTGTCTTTTTCTTTCTCTGTCACCTTTTCCCTTTCCTTCTCCTTTTCCTTTTCCTTCTCCTTCACTTTTTTGTCCACATCAAATATTATCGGAGATGCTCTACGCTTCTTCACTGGAGGTGAATCTTCATCTTTTTTTTCTATAGTTTCAGTAGATTTTCTTTTGTCTATTTGCTTTTCGTCCTCTTGTTTCAGAAGAACTTGAGTATCGCTTTCTTCACTTGTATTACTCAATCTTTTCTTTGTAGAAATTTCTTTTTCATTTTCAGACTTTTCCGTATCTTTAATTATTACACTCTCTTTCTGGCTATCTTTATCTTGAGTTTTCTCTTTTACTTTCTCTTTCTCCTTTGGCTTACTAGTTTCTTTTGGTTTTTCTTTTATTTCGTCATCATCTAGAAGCCCTTCTGTCTTTAGTTTCTTAGCAAGAAATGCATTTGGGTGGTAGCCGTCCATTGTAACTATGAATTGGGTTCCTTTATCTTTATTATGTAATGTCGCATTATGAATGGTGCTGAAAAAAAAACATATATTCAATAATCACATGGCCTTTTCACTTTTACTTAAAAAGTACCTTATTATACAAAGAATCACATTATTTGAAATTGATATTTTTAACAATATTCTAAAATACAGGAAGTGTATAATTTGGCTATATTTTTGTGTATTTTATTCAAATTCAAAATATTTTATTCAGCATTAAATTATTACATTTTTTTTACTGAACGTCGTGAGTCTACTACCAGTTCGGAAAGAAGAAGCATCAAACCTGAGAAGAACTGACGAAAGAAACTCAACGGGACTAATATTATTTCGTTATCTTTTTTTTATAAAGTTAAATTATAAATTACAATGTATCTATAAAATTGAAGTACCCTGGAGGCGATCACTTCATTCCCAAGGCGTGCCATCTTCTATAAAAACATAATTGTATAATAGCCTTTAGCACACAATTTATTGTTACGATATCCCATTTTTTTGTGTTTTTGAACTGAACATTTAATTTATAAGCAGAGTTGTTACGTATATTTGAAGGAAAAATTACTCCTTACATTTTGTCCAAGCAAAGACAGCGGAGATATAAAAGTAAGCTTAAAAATTAACAGTTTCTACACGAATTTGATATTTTGTAGTAAGTTTACCTGCTATCAACTATCGTGTCATCTTGCTCACTAGACTTGTTAGGGATATATTCTGTGTTGTTTATAACTTTCGTAATCGTAGTCGGCCTGAATTCTTCTTTTTCAATCATATCCCTTGTCATTCTGTAACAAATGGTAGTATTACAATGGAAAGTCTTAAAAGAAACGTAATTCAGATGGCACTTCTAGGGTATTACTATAAAATTGTTTAAGAAAAATGGATTATTATACTAAAAAACTATATATATACGAATATTTTTCGCTATATACAATAGGTAGGATCTCACTTTAAAACATCATCTTACTAGGATTCAACACAACAATATCATTTCCTATTTTTTGACAAAAGCCTATCAAAATAGGTAATTTATTACTCCCCCCCAACGTGCGTTCACCTTGTCGTGGTGGGGGGGCTCAGTAGTGTACTCGCGAAGCCAAGAAACGCACAGGGAGGTGGCCCGCTTCGGTGGGCGGTGGGAGGCGGCCTTCTTCGGAGGGTGGTGTGCCGTGCGGGTTGCTCCTGGTACTTCTCTGATAGCAGAGTGGACCGTGGAGCAACCCCATGGTTGTTGTGGTCTGCTTCGGCAGACCTGCCGTCGGGGCGTCGTAGTTGAATGCGTAAGCGATCCTGCGACGCCCCATTAAGACGGGGGAAGGTTTTGTTGGGTTTTAGTGGGTAGTACTGGCTTCGCCGGTGAGTCCCACACTTCGTGCGTAAATGCATTTCCCAACGTTAAAAAAAAAAAAAAGGTAATTTATTACGAGTGAAATCGCGGGGCAAAAGAACATATAATAAACTCTTTATTTATTTAATTAGGATCAACAACATGATATACAGTAACCTAACAAAAATACACAATTGTATTATTTGTACAAAAGCGGTCTAAACCACTAACCACGACGTGCATAAACAGTTACACGGAGCATTTAAAAATTAACAGTATAGTAGTAGTAGTAGTTATAATTAGTTACATCTTTATGTAACGAAAAAGAAAGAAAAAGAGCCATACCTATCATGAGAAAAAAAATTAAAGGGTGCGTCTGTGAATGTGTACACGCGCAAGAAGTAAAACTTCTGTATGTATCGGTACTCTTTATGAAATTAAATTTGTTTTAAATAATTAGGATAGGTGAGATAGAAAAAATAACGTATATTAGGCATATTACAATCCTATATTTATAGAATATATTTTAAGGAACAAATATAATATTATATATCATTTGTCAGACAATACAACGGTTACCATGGCAACAAACTTTCGCCTCGTACACTTGTAATATTACTAGCGTTTTCCTGCGGCTCCGCCCGCACAGGACATTAATGTATTAAACCATTTAAATTAATTATAATATTATAAAAATTCATTATTTCTAAGTCAAAAACATATAGGTTCCGGGTAAGTAATCACCAACATATCATATACTAAAACCTTCTCCGAAACACGCTGCATCTTATGGTATAAGTATTATTCCGATTAAAAAAATCGGCTTTCCATTTATTGGTATAAATATATCATTTGTCAGACAATAACAACGGTTACCATGGCAACAAACGTACGTACATTTTTTTGTAACGCATTCACCTGCTTACCCCCAAGTCACGCATGCGTAAAGAAGGTTTACTTCAAAAAAAAAACAATTTAGCAATACAACTCTTACTTAGAGGTCTTATCCTCTCCCTCACTATCCAGACTGAGCGTGTCGCCCGCGCTGTCCGAGTGCGCGTGCGTGTCCACCGGCACTTGTATCACTATCTTGTGCGCGTCCACGCGCCGCATTGGCAGTACTAGCGCACGTTTGATTTTTGGCGGCTCAGTGTCTACTTTTGGTGGTATCTGTCAAGGAAGGTTATTCATTAATGATTTTAAATCTTAAATAAAACGTAATCATGATTTTGTAAATCATGTTCTTAAAGTCTTTCTTCGCCATATAAGGTCCAAATGGGAAGAAGAATAGTTGAAATTAATGTCGATAGGGGACGTAATATGAAATCTTCGTGTCGTGTAACTCATATAATTAATATATATCGCAGGCAAATCGTATAATTTTGCGTTTTACAAACGCTCGCTGTTATGAAATATGCCTTTGGCAAATTGGCAACTCGTTCAATTGGCGCCATAATCACTGTTCTAAACTAACCTAACCAACCTAGAAAGAAGGAAAGGTTTATGCCAAAAAATAAAAGCTGCGGTTTTTACAATTTGCCTAAAGCATTTTACAAAAGCGCGAGCGTTTCCAAAAAGACATTTAAATTTTGTAAAAAGTCGAATCATACGATTTGTATGCAACATAATTATACGTTACAACTAGTATTATACTCGTATGTATGTGAAAGTTTGTGTGTGTATGTTTGTTACTTATTCACGCTTAAATTGATGGATTTGGATGAAATTTAACACAGATATACTAACCTAGGTCCTAGAGTAACAAATAAGCTACTTTTAGGTAACCAAATCGGTAGTTACAAACAAACACTCACATTCAACAAGCTCTTATGTGCGTCAGCGACAGCCCGCAGCAGCAGGCTGGAGGCGGGCGCGGCGACGCGGGGCCGCGGCCGCACGCGCACCACCGACGCGCACGTCAGGCGGCCGCTGCGAGACTCTAACACTGACACCCTGGGAAGATAATTATGTATTGTTAACATTTTTGAAGTTACCTATACTTCTTTTGGCACGTTTGGAAAAAAATGTGAGAGTGAAATTTTTACGATGCGCGCGCATACCGACAGCCAAAAAGCGACATGACGAAGTTAGTTGCATTCCTTTTACAAACAGAGAGTTGTGACATACGGGATGAAATTTTTAGTTTTTTTTAGTTCTGTTACCCCAAAGAAATATAACTTCTTATGTGCGTACATAAGTACACACACACGTTTTTTTGGTTAGGAAATTTTTTTTAGAGGAATATTGGATTGAAGGGGGAAGGGGTGTGGTAAAGATTGTATTCAACACTTTTTTTTAGCGTCCCACTGCTGGAGACGTGGTTCCTTTCAATACGAGAAGGATCAGTTTGGTTTTCTCAGACCTGCAGGTTTCCTCGCGATGTTTTCCTTCACCGTAAGACAAGTGGCAATCATGTTAGAAATGATACGCATATGGAAATATCAAAGATGTGAGATCCGGGATTTGAGCCCGCTTCATTCGGTTTCCCAAGCGAGCGCCTTACCACTGCCTGTGATTCTAATCATTTTTTGTGGCACAATAATGATTAATTTTTATTTAATTAATATATCTTCTATAAAATGTGTTTAAAAGTAATAATTCCATTCATGAAGGTGAAAATTTATATAGAACTACTTCGACATAGAAGGCAGTGGTAGCTAAATGATAACGCTCTCGTTTGGGAACCGACCGAAGCAGGTTTAAGCCCAGGGTCTCACACCACTGGTATTTTCATGTGCGAATCATCATCAGGAAAATATCGTGAGGAAACCTGCATATCTGAGAGAACTTAGCAAGTTCTCGAAAAACATATGCAGTATCTATACATATAATAAAATTGTAACTAAGCCGAATCTGTACATTAAATATTTTTTGGAAAATATTATTGAAATAAACATTATTATCGATATAGAGGCCGAATCTATAGTTTTTAGAATTTTTGTCTGTCTGTTTGTCTGTCTGTTACCGCATCACAGAAAAACCACTGGAGGGATTTTGATGAAATTTAGTATGGTGATAGCCGGTTATCCGGGTCAACATATAGGATACTTTTTACCGCGGGAAAATATCTCATTTCTAAGAAAAAATACAATAACTGCATTGTAAGAGTATACTAATATATGTAAAACCTAAGAATTTGGTTTTTGGTCATCTGAACGCGGGCGGAGCCGCGGGCAATGTTAGTTATAAATATAAATATGTTGGGACATTAACACACAGCACCATCTGGTTCCATGGTAAGCTACGAGGCCCGTGTTATGGATACCAGATAGTTGATACACTACACATATATAACTTTAAATACAAACATATTATAAATATAAACTCCCATGACTGGAGTACAAACATTCGTGCTCATCACACAAATGAATGAAAATACCACCGGGACTCGAACCCGCGACCGCTGGCACAGCAATTAGGGTCACTACAAACTGAGCCAAACGTGTCGTCGATATATCGGAACCTACACGTCTTGGCCAGCGTGGTGTACCATGGCCTGATTCCCTTCGTGTTGACAGGAGGGTGGTGCCCAGCAGTCGGACGATAAAAAAAAGGGCTGAATATATAAATAAATACATACTCTGAATATATTATAACCTTTTCACATCACAAAATCAATTGACGAATACAACACGAAATTAAAAGAATTTATTAATGGACAATTTATTTCTTTGCTAAACATTATACATAATCAAAAAGTTCTTACTTTGAAGTTAGTCTTTTGCTACTCTCCAACTTTTCCGTACTATCTTCGAAAATTGAAGATTTCCTCTGTGGTTCAGACTGACTTCCCAGTCGACTCCTTGCAGACCTGGGTTTCAGTTCAGTATCTTTTTCAGGAGTGAACCTGAAAATTATTTTAAGTAATTAAGCAAATATACGTGTAATATAAAAAAAACATATTTATACTACATACAAAATCACTTAAGTCTTAATCATTTGATGCTTTAGATTCTTGAATTGAAGCTATCATTCAATGTTAAAGAAAAAATTTCAAAATATAAAATTTTTATCTAAATTTTGTAATATAAATATATTGATTTCAAAGTAATTTTCAATTTATGATTGTGTGTACATATTAATAATATACCAATTTTGTTTGGTGGAATCCCTTTGCTTTTAATATCAACATCTTTTAAGGACGCGTTGTGAAAATAGTTGAAAAACTAGTGTCTGGATACTATTTACTTTAAGCACAATATGCCTGAATTGTCGGTACATACTTATATTAAGATTTATTCTTTAAGCGACAACTATTTGGCCTAACATAAATTAAAATTTTCGTTGAAATATTAAAGATAACTTTATTATTATGTTACATATGGTTTAAAGATAGCTTTATGGGCCACATACAAAGAAATCGTTGGATGTTTTTTTAAATACAGTATTTTTTATGCAATGGTATAGATCAAAAAAGTTATATACATTACACACTATCGGCGACAAAAAAGTTCTTCACCGAATGAGCGCTCATTTGAACCTTTGAATGCACTTTTTTTTTGTGAAAACAACTTTAAGTGCTGCATTTAAGGTTTAATTTACATTGTTGTATAGTTATTTCAACTGGAATAACTACCTAAACACAATTGGTGACAGTTTTAAGAGAACTAATTATCTAGTACTTTTTAGGGTTCCGTACCCAAAGAGTAAAACGGGAAAAACCTATTACTAAGACTCCGCTGTCTGTCCGTTTGTCACCAGGTTGTATCTCATGAACCGTGATAGTTAGACAGTTGAAATTTTCACAGATGATGTATTTCTGTTGCCGCTATAAGAACAAATACTAAAAAACAGAATAAAACAAATATTTAAGGGGAGCTCCCATACAACAGACGTGATTTTTTTATAGATTGGTGCGGAAACCTTCGTGCGCAAGTCCGACTCGAGCTTGGCCGGTTTTATTTGATCGATGTAAAATTTGCATAGTTATATACATGCTTCTTTTTTGATGTTGCAAATTTTTATTTTAATTTAAGACAGAAAGATATAAATCTTTAAATTAATTGAGGCAAAAGCATTTTTTTTTTATGTTTACGTGAATTTATTATCCAGAATATTAACGGCTCTATATTGGTCGATAAGATTTCAATAAATTTTACAAATGTTACAACCTTAAAATACAATCTAAGTTTATATTTCAAACTAGCGACTCAACCTCGCTTCGCTCGGGTTCGTCTCTACTTACGTTTTAACGTTAAGTATCGATTTTTCAGAGATGAGATATTTTCCCGCTGTAAAAAGTATCCTATATGTTGACCCGGATAACCACCTATCATCATACCAAATTTCATCAAAATCCCTCCAGTGATTTTTCCGTGATGCGGTAACAGACAGACAGACAGACAAAAATTCTAAAAACTATAGATTCGGCCTCTGTATCGATAATAATGTCTATTTCAATAAGATTTTCCAAAAAATATTCAATGTACAGATTCGGCTTAGTTACAATTTTATTATATGTATAGATTTGTGGTATATAAAATTCTTAATTCTTAATACGTAGCAACATCTAAAATTGTTCAAATCCTTATAACTCATAATGTTAGAGAGTTAAAAAGAATTTATAATTGAAATATAATAAAAATAAGAAGCATAAACCAATAAAAGTATTTAAAAAATGGCAAATAAGAAAGTAATACTATTTACAGAACTGTAAATTTGTTCTTCTGTCAATTCATAGATTACCGATGGGATGTCACTTACAATATACATATAAATGCAATTGTTATGTCTATTAGTGCCGAGTATTATATATTACTAGCGTGTTACGCTCGCTTCGCTTGGGTGTGCCCCTAGGTACGTATTTTTTTAGCAGAATCCTAATTCATGTTTTAAAATAGAAGTAGCCTAAGATACTCCTTATAACATCAGCTATTTGCCAGCGAAAATCGTATCAAAATCAGTCTAGCCGTTTTGGAAATTAGCCGAAACAAAGAGACAGACGGACAAAAATTTTAAAAATTGTGTTTTTCTTATAAATACTGTATATAATTTCATAAGCATTTAGTACAAAGCTGTTATTTTGACATTACAAACAGACACTTTAATTTTATTTATCTGTAGATTATATTATGTATGTGTATATTTGTATGTAGTTTGATGACTATAGAAAGTAAGTGGCGGTATTCTGTTGAGCGTGTAGCTTTATTTATTATCATAGAATAAGTTTTTTTATATCTCGTTCTTCTTGATGTCTTGAAGTAATAATAATAGTTAAGTTAAAATAGCTGCTCTTCCGTTACGGAAGTATCTTATTCTATGTTTTCTACAAGTGTTTGCAGATTAATGATTAAACGTTCAAATGACCAAAAACCAAATTTTTAGGTTTTACATATTAGTCATGAACGAATTAGAGACTGGACCTGACATAAAATACAAATGTATGAAATCTAGTTCAACCAAGTGACGCATAACACACACAAAGATTTTATTACATTATTATAAACACTGATACACAATACAATATTTCTAGTGCTTGAACGTAATCGATAAAATACATATATCGATGAACCAATGAATGACATTTTAGACATTGGTTAGCATAGTCATCATATTTTACATCTTTTAATTTATTCTTCTTCTTTTAATTTTAATAAATTAAAATAAATGAATTAAAGGGGCAATAATAATGTGTCAAATAATAATTATTTTTTAATTTGATTTATATAAATACGATGGCATTGATGGCAACATTCTGTTAGCCTATAATAATGTTAATGAACAAATGAATATCGGGTATATATTCCATTAATATATAATAAATATTATTTTGTAAAGATTAAAAAAAATATTAAGCTAATTTAATTAAATAAAGTGATTTTGTTGATTCTGTTATTGAACTATTTTAATAGGCAATTGATTGTCTCGTGTAGTTTATAAAAATGTGACAGTGTCCTAATATTGCTCCGTTCTTAATAAACATTTGTGAAATTAGGAAAAAGAAAAAGTGATTGCAAATTGTGAAAAAGTGAGTGTTGGATCGTGAAAGTAAAATAATTAGTGCAAGTGGTAAAGTGTTTTATTACAAATCGCCAACCCAGAAGTTTAGTGCTAAAACATTATTGTTTGATTTTGTGTAATTTATGTGTTGAAATAATATGATCTTTATTATTATTACAATGGAAACATATTCCAAAGTATATAAATGTGGTATAAAATAAAATAAAAAATTAAGTACACATACTAATTATAATTTTTGCATTTATATTTTTATTTGATTTAGAAAATATTTTTATAAATTTATTGTCATCAGATTGTAGGATACTGTGGTAAAAGTATTTTATGTTATTGTACTGTACAAATAACACAATTCGTTCAGTTATTTCGTCAAATATCGATATATTTTTCGACATTGTCAAGCACTAGTCGATGTCAAATGGACTCACTCGACAGTGTAGTCATTTGTTCTGAATGGTATAATCCAGGGATTTTATGATGGTTGTCAGATGTCAACAATACATAGAAATATCGACTATATTTAACATAGTTGGATAATATGACATTTTATTTTACATTTAATTAAATTGTGTGATAAATAACAATATATGTAATAAAATAATGTATTTACAAGTGAAAAGAAATACTGCTGCTTCCGCCGTTATAGTTTTTACATCATGTAACAGAACATTTAGTCATTTTTGGGAGATGTTTTGTTGACAAATAAGTGCTTGAGACTGACGCAAAAAACAAACGACCAAGCCTAAAATCTCCTGGTTACTGAGAAGACCGATAAAAGTACGTCCGCTTATATGTCTAGTCCAGTGGTTAATTCGTTCATGATATTAGTATACTCTTACAATGCAGTTTTTGTATTTTTTCTCAGAAATGAGATATTTTCCCGCGGTAAAAAGTATCCTATATGTTGACTAGGATAACCAGCTACCATAATAATTAATTTCATAAAATCCCTTCAGTGGTTTTTCCGTGATGCGGTAACAGACAGACAGACAAAATTTCTAAAAACTATAGATTCAGCCTCTGTATCGATAATAATGTCTATTTCTATAAGATTGTCCAAAAAATATTTAATGTACAGATTCGACTTAGTTAGAATTTTATTATATGTATAGATAAGCATAAAGTAATATTTAATAGTACAACTAACACTTCATTATATTTAACGGTTCTAAGAGCCTCATAATTTAAAAAATTTCTTACTACCTTAAATGATTTTGTAATTAACAACCTTTCGGGACTCTCTTTTGCCGTTTCTTTTGTTTTTTCCTTCTCCCTAAGATCAGGCACCTTTGGTACTTCTTTAACACCAAGTCGTTCACGTATTGGTCTTTTTGGTAGATTTAATTCTATTTGAGGTAAGGTCTCTATTTCTTTTGGAGGCTTTTGAACTTCCGGTATCGGTGGAATGGTTGTTTTAAGAGTGTGTAATGGGGGTGTCGCTGGGGGTCGGGATGGCCGTATCACTTCCTATAAAACAAAGAAAAAATATTCAATATCAAATTAAGAGAGTAAATTTAGTAGCTCTATAAAAAGACTTTATGTCACTACAAAGTGACTACTATTTTTTGTATACAAATAATTGAAGAACCCATCAACAGGTTAATGTTTCTATAATAATAAATGTACAAAAGAAGGAGAATCAAACAAATGCACTTAAATATTTATTTATATATAAATAAGCACTAAAGAGCATGTAATACCTGACTCACATCCTCAGCAAAATCATTCATTAATTCTTCAGCTTCAGTTCTTATGTTTAGAAAATCTTCATCATCTGACATAGATTCTAGTTGCTCAGCCAATTTTTGCCTTAAACCTTGTATCTTGGCTTCAATCTGAGTTATTTCTTTTATTTGTTCATTTCTTGGATCAATCTTACTATTTTCAGTAACTTGACCCTTTTCAGATAGTGTTACTTCAGGAGCTGTAATTGTTTCAGGGTCAATAATAGGCACAATTGGTCGCTTTAATACTTTAGTTTCTACTTGCTTTGGTTCTTCTTTATAAGGCTCTAAAAGTACACCATGGTTTTTTAAGATCTGACCAGCAAAAACATCTGTAATAGATGGCTCAGATTCTTTTTCCATATTCATCAACAAAGGTGGGATGTTAGGACGAATTATTTCATGATGTTTACTTTTCTTCTTGCTTTTGTGAGATTTCTTTTCTTCTTTTTTCCGAGCTCTCTCTTTCTCTTTCTTTTTGGCTTTCTTTGAAGACTCTCCCTTTTTTGTCTTTTCTTTATCTTTTTTGTCCTTTTGTTTCCTTTCTTTGGACTGTGACCCCTCTTTGCTTTTTTCAATGTCTGTTTCTATAATAAAAATAATTCAAGTATATTTCACAATGTGTTCAAATAGTTATATAAGATAATATTTTCAATATGATATACCAAACCATGTATAATTTTACTTCAATAATAATTCAATTCAATTTTCTTGTTAATTATGATATTATAATTGTGATAGTTACTCTGTAGAAGTTGGATTTAATAGTGAAAATCTAATCTAATATTGTTTACTTTTTACTAGAATATACCAAGCAAATTATACTTGTAAAGTTTATATTGTCAATTATTATTTATAATGAGAATTTACCTATAATATGTGTATTTGGACTATGATGTGCATGTTAAAAAAAGAGTCTGAATACAAAACAAAATGTGTATTTGCAGGGAAAATGATTCATCATAGCATAACACATCAAAAAAAATCAAAACTTATAAATGACATATTGTATGATATAAGATATATTTTTATAAAATATAAAAGTAATAAAATAAAAAATCTTACTCCATTATCAATAGACTTACTTAGTGGTACAGATGAGACAGTGACTTCTTGTAATTTCTTTAATACTTGATGAAGCCAATTGACAAATAATTCAGTATTATCCCCAAGGAACAATTGCAAATCATCCTCCATCTGAGCTCTAGTGCGTTTATTTGCTACCATGACCATGACATAATCAGGGAGCTCATCATCTGAGAAACAAGTCAAAATATGCACTACATTTTATACTTATTTGGAATATTTTGGTTTTATACATATACTAGCTACTTACTCTCGTTTCACTCAGGTATGCCTTGGTATGTTTTATTATTCTGAGCATACCTTAGGAGATAGAAACATGCTATTGCCGACCTTTCTGTAAGACTTTTTTAAGACCTACAATTTTCTAGTATATGATGTTGATCTATTTCATAAGCACTCAAAACTAAGATTTTTATGATATCATTGCAAATCTTAAGAATTATTGTGAAAACCGTAACAAAATCAGTTGCGTGGCTTAGAAGTTCGCAGAGAAACAGACAGACAAAAACAGTGACTTTGCTTTATATTATGTATAGATAAGTAAAAAAACATAATCTATATTTTTTTAATGATCAGTTTTATTTAAATTTAGCAAGTTATAAACAAATTGTAAGGAGTAAAAATATATCTTACCGACATAGCACCCCAATTCTGTCAGTTTGGCCTTGATAGCAGACTGAAATAAATTACTTTCAATCAATATCAGTGATAATTTACCATAATAGATTTACAAAAGACCAAAAGAGTCGAACAATGCTTGTTTTGTTTAAATTACACCAAATTATTTAATAATGGAATTGTAACAAAAACATAAATAGAGCAAAATTTAAACTAAATATATTATTTACCCGCATCTTCTGCCCAATTTCGCTGCCGACAACATCCATTTTTGTTATTTTCACGCACGTTAAATGGAATGGAATACTTAACAATGTACTTAATTCAATGTATAATTATTAACTCTAAGATAGAGAAAAATAACCACTCTCTTTAATAATCACTATGTTACAAACAAATACAAATATATGATTATTTCCGTTGCCCAAAATGAAAATATCAATTAAATGAAATTAATGTAGGTACTGCGACTGCCATTGTAAATTGCCAATTGCATTAAATATGACATTTTGACAGGACATAAATGTTCGGAAATCGGAGTTGGAAAAATATGGCAAAACAAGTAATTTCGATTCATTTTTAAATAAAACAATAATTTAATATTACAACATGTAAATAAAGATTTAGTTATAATATACTTTTTTAATTATTTTAAAAATTTACCTTTCAGGAAACTACTATTCTAAGTATTTTGTTAGAGGAGGTAGGAAATATGCATAATTTTTTATTTGTTTAATCACAACACTAATAAAAGAACACTAGATAAAGTGTTTAGATCTAGTGACAAAGTTCTATTAAAACGGCAGCACTGCTAATAACATGCCATGTGACGTTATTTTTCGATTCGAGCAACGGTGATGGGTTTCGCAATTTTCGCTCGCTTAATTTGCATTTTGCACTTTTCAACCGACTTCTTCAAAAAACTTAACCTTTTTTTTAATAAAAACCGACTTCAAAAAAAAACCAAAAAGTAAAACATACTTAACTGATTGGTAGTTTTCATTTGCTTTAGATACCTAATCAGATTTTCATTACCTATTTTTCCATCCTAAGTGGTGGCATTTTTCCTTTTTTTATTTAATGGAATTTTACATAATCCTTATTTAAATGGGACCAAATTGGAAGTATACACTTTCAAACAAAACAAAAATTGTTCAAATTGGTAATAAACGAGGAAGTTCTGAAGTAACAAACAAAAGAAAATACAGCCGAACTGAGAACTTTCTCTCCTTCTCGATCGACTTCTTCAAAAAGATCATTCAAAAAAGTTGGTGCCAGCCGATGCAAATCAAAGTACAACACCGACTTCGAAAAACAAATATTTTTGAAGTCGATGTGGTTAGGTATCTATAGTTAATGAAAACTTCCAATCAATTATTTTATACTTTTTACTTTTTAGTGTTTTTTGAAGTTTTTATTTAAAAATGGCCTTTGTTTAATCACAGTTCACATAAGTTCAATTAACCTCTTTGACCGACGTCAAAAAGGAGGAGGTAGATACCTACTCAATTAGCCTAAATGTTTTGTGGGTATGTTAGGTACTCGATTCGTCACTTGTGAATCGATTTCTTTAATTTCTAGAGTCTGCACTTTGTAAAATTTTTTTATTTATGTCTTTCTGACCGATTTCAGCTACGATGGCCAATCTCAATGTGACTAGCCATGTGTGCAAAAGACAAGTGCACAAGTATTAAGATAATATATTATTTACAAGTTCACAATAATTAATAATTATTATTTTAATTTTCTAACACCGGTGGGACGGAAATTGGATATTTATACATTAGATGTGAGACCGACGGCTTTACATGCTCTTCAACGCACGTGAATGAAACAATGCCAACTGTTGTTACTGAGAATTTCTTGAGAGAAAAACCCGATGACTACTAAACCGAACTACCTACTTAATATAGTTGCATGGCCCAACCCCGGGATTTGAACTCAGGATTTCCGGATCAAAACCCTACATCCTAGCCACTAGACCAACGTGCTATAGTAGACTTCAAGGATGGTCCAATAAAATAAAATAAACCAGCCTAATGATGGAATAATTTTTTTTAAGTAAAAGAACAATATTGCAAAGATATTTTTTGTAATACTTTGATATATGTACGTAATAAACATTAAATGCTGCTGCGACATGGTTTCGATTGCAATTTGAAAAAATAAAATGTCTATTTAAAAGCAAAAGGGTTTTTTATGATATTGATCAGTCTTTCCTGTTAGTCTTGCGGGTAGTGCAGTGCAATTTCTTTAACTTTTCTAGTCTCAATAAAACAGTACTTATTATTTAGAAAGATTTGTATTCGGGGCACTGTTCTACTTTCCAATTTATTAGATTGCAGTAGGTAACTGTCATTAGAGAAAATATATTTTAGATTGCTTCTATTTATTTTAATAGTCTCCATAGCGGGCACAGCATATATACCAATGTACTCTGTGGGGCACAGTTAGTATTATTATACTAGACTAGAGTTGTGGTTCATTAAAAAGGGTCTGCTCTGACGTGGTCTTCCTTATTTTTATAGTGAGATTAGAGCGCGTCTTAGGGATGTTACTTGTCTTTAGGACAATAAAAAATAATAAATTTTAAGACCTCATATTGTATTTAAGTATCTTATCTCTAATCACTAACAATATTATAATTCAAATGCAGCGATTCTTCTATACGAACGAGTAATACGTAATATATTAGTTAATGTAATAATGAGTATAATCAAAACAATATTGATATCGTACTGGTTAGACTACGTTTAGGATAAGTTCTAAAATTTATAAACAGTTTTATTATCCTGGGTAACTAAGAAAATGTCATTATTCAAAGCAGATGAATCACACTGATCCGATAAATAATGGATTCAGGCAGTTTTGATCCCTTTCCATCTGTTTTGAATTAATAGTACAAGATATTTGGTTTCCTGGATCGTATTCTGGAATAAGACGGACAACCTTAAAGATGACGTTTGGGTCATGACAATACTTATTATTGCGTATTATAATAAGAATCTGAAGCCATATTTGTATTTCTGCTACTATGGTATGAAATGTTAATATTATAGTTTTATAACTGGCCTAAATTAAAACTCGTTTTAAAACATCCTCTTACATTTATAGTAGTCATACAAACCATCTTCTAAATTAAAGACAGTTCTATAGAGTTTAGAATTAGTAGTCTCTGAAAAAAATGACTGCGATATCCTTACGGACAGATGGACATGACGAAATTAGAAAGGTTTCACCTCTGCCTTTTGGCCACGGAACCCTAAAAAGGTAAAACATATTTATTGTTTAAAACATAGGCAAGGCATTTTGATTTTCTTAGAGTAGGGTAGTGCCTAATTTAATATGCCATAAGAATTTCATTTTTTTTCATTTCACTTTAAACGACATTCCCACAGAGATGTGGTTAAATATTAGTAATAAAAACTTTCTTTAGGAGGAATATAAGTATGCCGCTCATTACTACGTAGTGGCTGTCATTCTGATCCTATTCTAATATAGTTAATGATGATGGGCTGCTCTGAAATGGGTATAGTTGTGGAGAATTTTATGAAACACACATTTATACTTTAATTTTATTTATTTTAACAATCTCCATAATTTCAAAATGATTGCTACCAGATAAAAACAAAATAAATAACATTAACTAATTACAAATATAATACATTACGTCAAATTCGAATTCTTATAGGTAGTATGGCATTGAAATACGTAAAAATATTATGTCAATATAATCAAAACTTTATAATGATGATAAGAAGAATATTTAAAATACTTTAATAAAATAGGTAAATTGCTGATATTTCATTATTATAGTACCTCTACGTATATCACTTTGTCATGGTCCCAAAACACATTTAATTAGAGTACACAGTAGCCTATATGAAATGGCTAATCTTGAACTATAAATATAAATGAAGATAATTATTATTATCATAATATATTTTAGACAAATTGTTTTGATGATTTTGCATTAACATCATTTATGTTTAGTAAAACTGCAATTCGTAGCCAAGTTCAATATACTATTTTAAAATATTTTTGTTAATACTTTGCGAATAAATATCTCCATCACACAGTCGGGTATAATTTATTTGTAGACTTAATAAATAACATATTCTGGGCCCTGATTTAAAACCTATATAACAAAACATTCAAACGTCGACTTTCATTATTTTAATGATCGGATTTAGATTAATAATCTTTGGTCCATACTTAAAATAATCATAAGTTTAAAAACATTCAAATTATGCATGGTATTGGAATGTTCATAATATTCGAGGTATATTTAAGTTTTTGGAATGTATATGTAGATGTCATTATTTTTCGACTTTTCTAAGACAAATTCATGGTCACATTTTAATTTTTTTTTACTTTACTGATAACAGTTTGTGAAATTTATAGTGTTATTATAAAAAAATGATTTATTGTCTTATTGTTTTTTATTTATTATATTATATAGTCTTAAGTCTGTTAAAAACATAAGTTCGACTTCGAGCACCTCTCTTTGAATACGAGTCAATATATAAACAAACATAACATAATACGTATAATATCAATCAATTATAAATAAGCACTTAGCTATTTACATTAAAAAATGCGCTTAAATGTCGCTAATTAGCAGGACGGATAGGTTATAGAATTATGCTAAAAATTATTATACTGATTACATCTCACTGAAGTGCGATTTCTTTGGTACGTCGTGCTAATAAGCGATATTTAAGTATATTGATCTATTTCAAATCTCGTCATTTTTAAATTCGATCCCATGGTGGTAACTGTATCAATTCTCGGTCCAAAGCTAATGGATTCTTTGGACCGTGTCAGGTATTTTGGCCGTGGATTTTCTACCTCCCGGAAGCCCGATTGTCGGCTCTGGACTCCCCCAGCGACACTTGGCTTAGAACCGTTCGTGTGTTGCTGAAGCTGTATCCGTGACGCTCGTTCCATTTCTCTAAAAGAATTCATTACTAATTATTGATGCTTTAAACAGGAATGTGAAAATTAGAGAGACAGACAGACATAGGTATGTAACTTTTTTAAATTACATTTATATTGTATATTTAGAAGGATCTTCCTTTATTAATTTAATAAAGGAAACGATGACTAATAGAATGAAAATTGTATGAAGCATACAGAACAAGCAATACATCTAACTGTGTCGCTCTGAAATACGTTTTAGAATACGAGTACAATATTTACGAGAAGCTCATATACAGTTTCTCGATATACTTGATTTGACAAGTCTAGTTTCAGAGCCTCTTAGTAGGTACTGTAATAATGATAATATTTATTTGTCAAAATATAAATTAAAATAAAATTACACACAAGGTTAAGCAAAAGGAACTAAATATTGTCCTTAAAAAGTAAAATAGTCACAATGGAAAAATCTAGAAATCTATAATTAAAGTGGGTAATATATGCATTATAAACCAATTGCAATAGAGCAATGTAGAGTGAGAAGAGAAATGAACCATGTAATGGCACCCTCACGTTATACGAACGTGCACATGCTGTTACGATATGCATGAAGCGTTGAATAAATAAGCATATACAAACTACTTTATCTGCGTAAATATAGATTAGTAGCGAGTTTTTCATATAAAATAACAGTAACGGTGGCTGAGTTTGTAAATCGTATATTTAATGAATTTATCTCAGAAGAAGAAAAAAAGAAACTAATCACTCAAAGGCACGTAACATAAAGCTCTTGCGTTATTGGTTTTTTATAGTTTATTGGTTAAGTTCCTTATGGGTATCCAACGATATTTTTCATGTGAGGGAAGAATGAAGTCTACTTTTGTTCGCTGATAATTAATTATTGCAGTAGTTATATGAATTAATATCACACACATAGAATACAAAGAAGTAACGATTAAACATACATTCAAACACCATTTGAGTGTTATTTACTGATTAACTGGTTAAATGTAATAAGTAATACAATAGTATTTCTTTAAATTAAGTATAACAGCTGATATAAATTTTAGTTTGTATGCTGAAACTGAAATACGCGTGTATGAGAACGCAGTTTAGACAAGTTAGTTTTGGTATAAATATTCTAAAATAATCTACTAATATTGCATATAATTATACATATGATATTTAGTTATGTTTTTTTCGAATTTTCTGATAGAACATTTATCGTACGTTTTAAAATATTTCATTCTTTAAACCTTAGTTATATTAACGGGTCTTTCTAGTGACTGTATCTAAATCCAGCAACAAGCAAGCGTCATGCAATGAGGGTGAAGCGATGATACCTTCACGTTCGTATATAGGAGGCGAGCGCAGACGTGCGCTCCGGTTTCTTGATGTGATGGCATGCTGGCGATGATGGATACGCACCGCTGGTGAGGCCGGACAGGCGCGCCGCCGGGCAGCACAGCGCGGCCGCGTACGCCGCGCGGTACTGCGCGTTCATTATCACGTAGATGATCGGGTTCACGCACGCGCTCGCGTACAAAAGGAGGTAGCCGGCGATGTGGAACACTATAATGTTTATTTAAATATATAATTGATGTTCATTTTATACTAGCTTACTCTCGTTTCGCTAACAGTAGCCAGTATTTTACTGTAATCTTTCTGTGTACTAAATAAACATTTAAATCCGTCCAGCCGTTTTAGCGGAAGGAGTTACAAACATACTCAAATGCAAATATTCGCATTTATAAGAGTTGTCCGTATAATCTATACGTAGTAAAGTCGCTCCCGCTGTTTGTACGCTTAGATCTTTTAATATAGTTTTCAGCGATAGATAGAGTGATTCAAGAGAAAGGTTTATATGTATGTAATGTACGTGCATATTAGTAGAGGAGCCCAAGAGGGGATATTTAAAAATGTTACTCAAGGTAGCAAATACTTGAAACCGTCAGATTAAGGTGTGGTAAGCTAGTCACATCCTGAAAAGTGTCTAATTCAGATTATTGAATTTTTTTATATAGAAGACTTATATCATAGTGAAAGTACTCAATAGAGTGCAAGCTTACCACCTCTTAATCTATGTTTCAATTTCTACGCTTATAAAACATTTTTTAAATATTTTGATCGGCTTCCCTAGACGCGCGCCTTTATATTTTACTATATTAAACTCGTACTAACCGTTAAAACGTACCTAGGGACGAACCCGAGTAAAGCGAGGGTGAGTTGCTAGTTATTACAAATTGAAATATTAAAAATGGGAAAATAATAATTTACTTAGGAAAACAATATTGATCAAAAAATAAGTATGGTTTTACTTAAAGGTCGCTAACACTGTGCTATAAGCATCAGTGCATAGCTCAAGTATATAGATCGATGATTAACTAGGTTAATCGATAGTTCTGCTAATTGGAACGATTAATGTTAATGCTATTTTTCATATTGCAATTACATATGTAGTTATAAATATTGGATGATGCTGCTTTATGAAAGTTTAGCATTTCTTTACTTTTTGTATTTTCTTAAGTGGGATAATCATTTACTGGCTCATCGTAAGTCCTTAGTTGGTTTATTTATATATTATTTTGTTTTTCATCTTTATATTGTTTTCTTACTAACACAAATATGTTTAATACATTTAAATCAATTTATTAATTTTAAATTAGGTTTTTACCAGGGTAATGTACGTGACTGTCAGCAACTTTCGCAATAGTTATGGGAAGGTAGCAGACAAGGAAGGACAGGAATATTGCGAGCACCATCTTCGTTATCCTCCACTCGTTACGGCGTGCTTTCGTCTCTCTAGTGTCCTTTATAGTGGAGCGCTTGTCGCTACCGTTGTTTAAGGTTCCAGGATTCGTGTGTTGGGAGCGTTGGTGTTCCCGCATCCTTTGTTCCGAACTGAAAGTAATTGAAATGAATTAGTCTAGAATTCTTCTTTGACATAAAATAACATAATAGCCAATAAATTCCCCAAGTCTTAGCAGATGGTTGCTATGTAATATATTTTTGTTACAAAGCTAGCAAAAATAATATGTGAGAAAATGACGACTAAATATTATGGATTTATGAATTATAGCTTTGGAAAATGAAAATAAATTATTGCCAACAATTCTTACATCTTTCACTACATTTTCGCAACATTTTGCTGTTTAAGTGACTGATCGCATTCGTGTGGAAAAATAAAGCCTGTTGGAACGATCTAGTTGATCTGGATAAGAAGCTTATATCTTTATATCATACTAGCAGAACCCGCGGCTTCGCTCGCGCTAAAACTACAAAACTCTAAAAAGGTAGGTTTCTTACAAACTTTCATGGTTTATTTTACCCCCTAATGGGATGGATTTCGAAAAATGCTAAAACACGTATTTATTTAACTGTACTGAAGAGAATTAATACCAAGTTTCAAGTAATTCTGATCATAAATATTTTTTTGGTATTATAGCGTATTTTCCCGTGGGAATGAGATAATCTCCCGCGGTAAAAAGTAGCCTATGTCACTTTCCAGCCCTCCAACTATCTCCTCACAAAAAACCACGCCAATCCGTCGTTCTATTTCCACGTGAAAGAAGGACAAACAAACAAATAAACACACTTTCACATCTATAATATTAGTATGGATATTAATGTGCCAAATAAAAGGATCATTCAGTTTTAGATATCGGCGTGCAAAACTTATCTACCTGACAAGATTCAATTTGCAATGTTGTCATAGGATATATTGTGGTACATATGAAAATATTCTTTTATGAAATTGAAATTTGAAAATTGACACAGAAACGGAATTAACTTTTAAACCAGTCTTCTCTAGTCTATTTTCTGGCGATTTGTAAAATATAAATAACAACAAATCTTTTAAAGAGAGTGTTTACAGTAAAAGTTGCATTAAAAGATTCAATTATGAGGAATGCCTTTTTTATTCGTCCACAAAGTTTGTAGTATGACCCCCATAGATACGCAAGGTATACAATTTTATGGTACCGTAAAACTCAATATAGTATAAAAATGTCAGCTCCCCATTTGTTCTTGCCCCATAAAGATAAGAAAAGCGCTTCAGAACATAAAACAGTCATAGATATATTCATGTACCTGGTTTTTCAGACACATTAAAAATTAAAATTGTGAGCAAAAGATTCCCTATAATAGACACGTGAGTACGCCGACAACACCGACGCAATTTTGGAGTAACGAGGGTTAATTGCGCAAGAAATTGAAAGAGTACTGTTTTGTTTTAAATATTCACTGGCACGCAGTGATAAATCGATAAAGGTATTGTCTTACTTCTTTGATTAACAAATACGAAATAAATATAAATTACATACACAAAGAAAGGTGTAGTATTATTTAGTAATCTTATTCACGACGTTATCACCACAACCAAATACCATTGCTTAACTAATTATTGTAAATTAAGAAAGTATTTTTTATATAGCTCAAGCGTTATGTTAATAATTTTTATATAAAAAATGTCTTTTTATCTTATATAAATAAAATCTTGCCTTATATCATACTAGCGACTCACCCTCGCTTCGCTCGGGTTCGTCCCTAGTTTACTTCCCAATACAAACTTACATCCACATTTTCACCCCCTTAAGGGATGATTTTAGGGACAGATCCTATGTCCTTTCCAGGGTCTCAAACTATCTTCTTACCAAATTTCATCTAATCATCATCTAAATCGGTTCAGTAGATCCAGAGATTACCCCCTACAACATTACAAACTCACAAACTTTATCTCTTTATAATATTAGTATAGATGATATTACCAGTATGGATATTTTACTACCACGTTTTATGTATCGTAAAATGAAGAATTTTGTAACCAGTTACCTGTGAACCACCCAAAATATCCTAGCGTAACATATGAAGATGAGCAAAGCTGGCACAATAAAAGCTATGACAAAGAGGGCTGTTTTTGCTGAATGGCCGTATTCGTCCGGCACTATCGAACAGGTGCCTAGTTCAGGATCGTAGTCAAATTTACCTGCAATCAACATATAAATTAATGTTTAATACATATAAAGCCATTTGAATTATTTAAAATTTTAACCAAACACGTAAATAATCTCATAAGTTGAAATTTAAATGATGATTTTACTTTTTAGTCTATAATCTGATCCTATTTTTAATTTTTATACAAAACTAGCAGAACCCGCGGCTTCGCTCGCACTAAAACTACAAAAAACTCGAAAAAAAAAATTGGTTTCATATAAACTTTCATCCCCTATTTTACCCCCTTATGGGATGAATTTTGAAAAATGCTAAAACACGTGTTTATTTAATTGTATTGAAGAGCACTAATACAAAGTTTGAAGTAATTCTGATAATAAATAATTTTTTGGATTATATTGCAACGTTTTTTCCCGTGGGAACGATCAACGAGATAGTCTCCTGCGGTAAAGAGTGGCCTATGTCACTCTCCAGCCCTCCAACTATCTCCACACAAAAATCACGCCAATCCGTCACTCCGTTTTGACGTGAAAGAAGGACAAACAAACAAACACACTTTCACATTTATAATATTAGTATGGATTTGTTTCTGCAGATAAAAAACACACGATATTTTTACAACGTGGTAGGTACGTCTTTTTATTTTTTTATCATCAGCTACTACAAACATCGTCTTTTGATTACAAAATTCGATACTATAAACATCGCTTTCGCTCTTACAATATTGATATAACTCATTTACCTTCAGACTACAAGGTACACAAAATAAATTCGAAGTCAACTCAAACTAAAAACCATTCAGTTTAAATTTTAAACATAGGAATATCAGATGAAATGTAAACAAACTTATACATCATTCAAAGGAATACGATGGAATTGTGGGAGCTTAATAGCTTCACTGCTTTACTTAATAGGCTGTGTCTGTAAACTTTTATTTATATAGATTTACCTATGTAAATAAGAGCTTCTATCAAAATGAATACTTTGTTAGTAAAATACATGTGCTTATTTCTTATTACATCTACTCGTATTTAAATGCTGGGCAATAACACTGATCCTACGCTACAAAGGACTCAGACATGTGTAAAGGTACGTTTATGTGAACGGTTAATGTTTGATAAAATTAAATGTTTTGAGGGTTTTATTGATAGTTTTTATTAACTATTTACTTATCATTACAACTTTTATTGCGATAATAATAAAATTTCATGTATAATTTTTTTATTTTATAATATTTTTTAATATGAAATTCATTTCTAATTTCAAATATTTTATTTCATTACATTATTATTGTGGCAGTATATAGGTAAAGATTTTTTAAAAATTTAAGAGTAACATAAATGTTTAATATAAAACTCTAAATGTAAGGAATGTCTTTAAATAGTAATGTTTTGGATCGTACGACGTACAATAAGGGAACCGCAAAATCGTCCTACACCGTGAACCGAAGAAAAAGAGGTCGACGTAGGCTTTGACGCAGAAAATAAAAACCGCTTTTAAAGACTATTCAGGAATTAAAATTCAATTCCCCAAACTGAAAGGTTTTACTGTATACATACTAGATAGGTACAGATATCAGAGAAAGGTATCAGATCGGAGCTCGATGGTTTTAAATATTATCATCTGGATGACAAATATTTACAATTTCAAGTAGATATGTCGATTATTGGAAACATGTTAAATCGACTTATATACATAGTAGGCTAGTTACTTATTTAGTTACAAGAAAAGGTATTAAAAAAAACCAAAAGTAACGCAAAAACTTTTTGTATACTCTATTGACCAACGAAAAAAATTCACTAAAAATCTGCAAACCATAAATACTCCTTTTATTATTTTCAGACCATTCTTATATACAAAATTTAATATATGAAATATATAGAATTTGCAACTGTAAAACAAGATTTATGAACGTCGTCATTAATTATATCTCACCCCAGACTCCAATAAGCGTCGGTATCTGCATCCCGTACGAGAACATCCACGAGAAGACGATCATGAGCGCTATATTGTGTTTGCGGTACACTCTCGCGTACCAGCTGTGGTGTGCTATCATAATGTATCTGGAACAATATTAAGTGTATGTTAACTTAATACTTTCTTAATTTGACGCGAATCTTTGACATTTTAAATAAAACTATCTTTCGGATTATTTCGCTGATTTATTTTGATTTTCGTTTCGAATGCTTTACAGCATTCATGGTCAAGGGTGAGACTAAGGTTTTAGACGTGTCAAAGGAATTATATAGATATATAGAACTACTATTTTACAAAAAATGATTTCAGAAGTTAAAGAATGGCACCAAAGTACCTTACAATATTTTTTGATTTTAATTCCAAACTTTTTTTTAATAAGTAAATATTATGTTTACTTAATTACACCATCAATGCTGCCATTTGTACATTTCTTGTTAGTTCTAGCTACTTGGTAAAGCAAACCTCCGACTGAATTTTCCATTTCACTGACTTAAATAAATTTGCTAAATATTTAAAAATATTTGGAGTTTTAAGATAAACATTACTAAAATGAAAGAAAGTCGTTTTCGTCAGTGCCAACTTACTCCACACATGAAAAAAGTAAAAAAATAATAATTTCGAATAAACCCCCAGCACAATTTAAAGCATCCAAATGTAAGTCGCGCCGTTAGAAATTTTATCAGTCTTTCTCTTTTAATACATAAGAGATTGATAAAACGAATAGTGATTTTTTTAAAATCTGTAGTCTAATATCAAATCCATATCTAAGTTTTATTTCAATTCATCAGGTTATTTTCTCCAATATAAGTAGGTTTTATTAATAGCAGATTGAACAGAAATATTGAAAACGAAACCGTAGCCAGTACCCAATATAAATACCATATTGTTTCAGAGTTCAAAAACAATAATTAGTATTATTTATCGTCTAATATACTTAGTGCGTTCACTCGTAGAGTCAAGACAGTAATACGTGCACCCTGAATATTGTTCAGAGGGTTGGCTGATATTGCTCTAGGACCAAACTTATTTTATACCTGATTTCATTTGCAATAATGTTCTCTACACCTGTGTCACTTGAATAACTTGACTTTAGGTTATACTTCAACTACACTGCGACGAAATTATTCGTAAATTATAGAGCTTAATGTAGCTTACTTCTTATAAATATTAAACAGAAATTTGAAAATATTGTGCTCCCATGACTTTATGGAATATCTTACGTTGGTTTTTGTGAATATTAATAATATTAAATTTTACCTAAAATATTACTTAAATTTAAATAGGTATTATTTTTTTATAATATATACCTATAATTTAAAAAATATAAATGCCAAAGTATGTTTTATTATTCGTTACTTTTAGTGTTAAACTGCTTTACCGATCTCGAGTCGAAACTTCGATTCTCTCGGCTCTAAAATAACAATAATTATATACTTAACTTTAAATGCTTTACAGCCTATAAATTTAAAAAAATACCCCTTTTATAACCTGTAAAGCATGGAAATCATCAAAACAAATCAATTCAAGCTCGAAAGTTTTACTAGTAACAATTAAAGAGTTTCGTCGTTTAATTTTTGGCTCTATCTCAATCAGATTTCTGTTATATCCACACACAGTAGTAGATTTAAGCCGGAATTATATACGTTATATGTAGTAATAAGATTCTTTTTTATGGGGTAACAGCATCTATAGCCGCCCCAAGTGTCACTTTTTTACTTGTACGAGTTTATAAGTAGACCAAACAAAGTTTTATAATCGACTTATTAAAATAAACTGCCGAAGCCTCTAGTTAGCTTAAAGCTTCATAGTAATCGATTGAATGTATATAGAAGCTATGAACATCTCAATTTCGTTCTCGTTTTTTCCAATATAAACGACATTACACCTGTTAGACATTGACATACACAAAGCGAGATTTCTGTCGTAAGTTATTTCATTTTCCTCTTCACTTGTCACATTGCCAACAAACGCCTGTAGTAGGCAGTTCTGGCTTTACATAATACATTTAAGAATTTATGACATGAAATAAACTGGGAAAGTTTCTTCGATATACTCTTGTCGTTACTACAACACAATTTGCACTATGGCAAATCATAAAATTATGGAAGGGTTTTATATATAGACTATAGATCAAAGTATATTGACACTATTTCGCCTGAATTGATAGACAAAGTAATAATTTTTAGCCTTGAAATTATCTAGTAAGTAGTTTTATGAATATATTTAGTGTCAATTATAGGCTATATTTATGTAATAATATGAACATATATGTAAGTAAAAAAAAAAAGAAAGAGGAGAACAGTCCACTGTTTTCTAAAAAAAAATACTTTCAAAAATAATGAACTTTAATACAGACTTTCATCTCCTATTTAACTCACTTAGAGGACGAATTTGCAAAAAACCTTGTTTCAAATGATGTAGAAATGGAGTATTTTTTTAAAACTTTATCTTATAGTCTACGACGATTACTTGAAAACGGAATTGTTACCGATAAAACTTTTTCCGTATAGGTACCTATAGCCCACTTATTAGCTCGAAATGAAATTTTAAACGGATGAGTAGATTCAAATGCAGTATAAGTTTCCTGTACTATGCGGTCCCATATAAAGGGTTATTAACACGGAGAGGATTTCGTATTTTCGTATCGCGATACTCAAAAGAATATAGAAAACTTCAGCAGTGCAAACTGTATCGTATGTTGTAAAGAGTACGGTTCAGTTTATATTTATGACCCTACGAGGAGAGAACGGGGTTGTCATATAAATGCAAATATGTGCCTTTTAAAAGCATAACTTTTTTTATTTATTTTTTCTATACTGGCCCTAATATTTTTTTTAATAAAAAAAAACTTTCAGATATGTACCTATTTATCAAAAACATATTTGAGCTAATTCATATTTTAAGTAGAATATTGTTATACATACATACATTGTTAGTTTTCAACCGACTTCAAAAAGCAGGAGGTTCTCATTTTCGCTGTATTTTGTATAGTTTGAGTTGAATGCAGGGAAAAAGACATAATTGTAAATCAGCCATGTGGATATTCACGCACTTATGCTATCTCGGAAAGTGCTTACTCTCAAGCAAAACAAATACAGGCAGTCAACCGTTATTCCTTGACCTGATGCTATTGCTCAGATACTTCTATTGCCAATGAATACAACGAACGGTCTGCATGTTTTGCATTTTTATTATAAATTAATATTCCATGTACGCTAGGCTGACGGACAGTAAATATTTATGTATAAAGAAAATCAGATCCTATAAATAAATATTGAGATTATAATTAAATGTTTATTATTATAAGTCAAGCTTAAAATTTGCAATTCATAATATAATGCTTAAATTGAAGTTATCAACAACTTGGTAATTTATACATACAATAAAATTCTGAGTCGAATCTGTAAATTTAATATTTTTGGAAAATCTTATTAAAATAGTCATTATTATCGATTAAGAGACCGAATCTATAGTTTTTATAATAAGGCTGTATGTCTGTCTGGGAACGCATCATGAGAAAACCACCGGACAGATTTTGATGGGTATGATGATAGCGGGTCAACATACCTAGAGGATACTTTTTACTGCGGGAAAATATTTCATCTCTGAGAAATCTACACTAAACGTTAAATCACAACTAGAGACGAAATCGAGCGGAGCGAGGATGAGTCGCTAGTGTTATAACAAGTACTTAGAATGTCATTTTTTTTGAAATATTCTTCAGAAGCGGTTTCAAACTTTTTTAAATAAAAAATAAATAAATTAGGTATTTTCAGTTTATTTTGTAAATATAGTTTTAATGTAGCTTATTTTCCCCTTCAATAAAAACCTATTCTTATTTTATTATCATCTCGCGATCCGACATTTACTGGTTACTTACACAATAATTCTATACCTTCTTAAGAACCGTTTTATACAATTATATTATGTGATTTCTCATGGGACTCACCTGTTTAAAGTAATGAGTGCGATACTCAGTAGGGAAACGCCAACATTCCCATACCGCAGGAACGGTACCAGCTTGCAGAGCGCACCCCCATGGGACCAAGTCCTCGTCCAGAAGCCCGATATGGCGAATGGGAGTACCACGGCGCAAAATAAGAAATCTGCTATGCACAAACTAGAAATAAAATAATATTTTGTTATAGAAACATAAAAATAATTATCATAACAGGATATTTTATACAACGTGTGTACTGCGTACATTTGTATCTATATACATATTATTTTGAATCTGAATATGAAAACACAATTGAGAGGCGCCATCCAAAATGAATTTTTGCATGGTATATAAAAGATAGTATAATAAGGAAATAAAACAACTAAAAGTCACTACATACGTTTTGTTTGTTAGTACTTATAACATTATTTTTTTATTGTTATTGTTTTATCTTTTTATTACTTCAATATATAACTTACTTAACTTTTTATATGTAAATATTGGAAAAAATATATTGTATAGTTTCTAGAGACCAGATGCTATCTAATTAATCAAAGTCCCTGGTGATAGGCATAACATTTACTATAAAAATAAACCTAAAGAATTGTAATTTTTTAAACCTATAATAAATAAGACCAAAAAATCTTTGAACATACGTGTGTCTTGCTGTATGCAGGTAATGGGTTTGATTCCAACTCGAAGCGATTGTATGACTATTCGTGTGCTATTCAGACACATTGTCTTAATAGACACCAAATTAAATAGTTATATGATATTTAAGTAGGTATGTATGACTTTTTTCATAAGGAAAACTGTGTAAAGGAATATATACACTCATTCATTTGGTTAAGTCACGAAGAGGTTTTGTGGAAAAACGTATAAAGGAAAGTTAACTGAGTCAAATTGAAATAGTTTACATTATCTGGCAAGGTTACAGTTAAAGTAAAAAATAACACTGAAAAGTAACAAAAGTTACAGTAGGTAGAAAATCTAATATGCGAATTCTCTAAATGTAGTATAATTTACACTGTATAGTTGGCACGTATTCTTTAAAAAAAAATAATGTTTAATATCTAATTTAAAAAAGAGAATATTTTGTGTTTGAAAGAATTTTGTTTGAAATTTCTGTTTGCTGCATAGTTAAGTGGTAAGGTATAATCCCACCAAAAACATAAATGTGAAAATGGAAGCCAAGTTCAATATTAAGAATATGCGTAGTTGTCGGCGAAGTCAACAATTAAATATCAGAAAAAACAAGAAATTGTGTTTTATATTTATTTTAGAATGTCGTTTATTCTTATAAATAAACTCTCAGGATTAACTACTAACTACAAGTTGGCACCCATTCAGATTTTAATTCTTTCGTCGGCGAAGTCGACAACTAGGTACCTACGCATCATTCTAAAGTGATTTGTATAATTAACAGACTTTTACTATTTTCAAATATAAGTGGCAAGATTGTGTAAGAATGTATTTTTTTTCATAACACAATAATTATTCGCAATAATATCAGATCGTTGAGCCGGCGCTGCCAGCTTATGTTATTATTGGTTGTCTAAATTTTAGAAATAATCTGCTATACAAAACGATAAAAGCGACCTTCCATCAAGGAATCTATTATCCTGCGAAAGAAAATGTATTTCCTATTATAATTTCGAAAGGCGTTAGGCGCTAGGTGTTAATAAAAATTGATTGCTTGGAAAATATTTCAAATCGTAAAAATTCACTGTTTTCGGTTTTTTTACACAATTACCCATCTGGACGGCAAATTTCAACTTTCTAGGTCATCTGGATGTGAGTTAAATTTTTGATCTATATGTCAGTCAGTCAATGATAAAAATGCTGATTTTTAGAAGTTAATATCTCAATAACCATTTGAGCTGTATTTATAAAATTTAGGATTCTAGTTACTTATTCTAAGGGAATTTAATAAATTAACTAAATTTCATGTGTTTTTATTAAATAAATTTTGAGTTATTAAGAGGTCAAAAGAGGCTGCAAATGGTTCGTGTAATATAACACACGTCTGCTGCGTCGCCAGTTTCTTTGGCTCGAACTTGGCTTGACACGCTACTGCGTGTCTAGATAAAAGAATAAATAAGTTTGTTGTTATATAATATGAAAAGTTCAAACAAATGTCGTCGAGATGAGAGCAGTGCATTAGGAACGTATGCAAGCTAAGTGCATAATAAATTGTGAGATGTGTTTAATTTTATTACTAGTCCAAAGTAAAGGGAATATTATGAATTTGCACTATTTTTACTTTTTCATTTTTTGGATTATGCTGATTTGGTTACGATTTCTAGATTAGTAGTATCAAACCATAATAATGACCACTACGAATATTTATTTGCCTCATACGAGAACCAAATTGACGACCTCTAGCTCAAAATCCTCATGTCAGTCATATGAAAAAACTTTTTATTTTCCCATTTTAAGTGTAGACGTAATAAGCAGGTAATTTGTAAGAAGAAAGATTTTTTTAATAACATTTTTAAACACATTTATTTAAGAATATTTCATTGTTGATTTTTTAAAAACCGCTCGACCGATCTCGATAAAATTTATATGGGACCTGAAAAGTACCGTTTGAAACATAAAAATAATTTTCTATAAATATTTGAGTAAGCGGTGGACATACATAAAAAAAAGAAAAGATTGCGACGAATTGATAACCTCCTCTTTTTTGAAGAAGTCGGTTGAAAAAACCTTGAATGTTTTATTACTTTGCATTGCATTTAAAACATTGCAAATTCACTGTTCGGAGTATTATTTTAAAACTTACCTAATAATAAATGCAGCAGCGACATTTCTCACTTTAGGGCACTTAAGAAGCGCAACCACGGTGAGAAGATTACCGAGGAGACCAACCACCATTATGATTCCAGTAACAACAGCCGCAAATGTGAGGAGAGTTGGCGAAAATCTGGAACAATGAGTAAGAGTTTCCTATGTTATGAAAGCTTTTCAATCAAAACACTATAGTTTGGTTGAATTGTAATCCTAAATTTAAGATGCTGTATTTGTTGGTATAAAAAGACTTCCACTTAATTTTTATTTAACTTTAAAAAGTGAAAGTGTGTGCTTGTTTTGTTAGCTTATCTTGTTTCGGATATGGAAAACTCTGTGGATCTATGTGATAATTGCATTGAGATATGTAGTTTCTAGGCAAGATAGTTATGATCATGAGTCATACATAGGTTGGATATAGGATTTATTCTATTTATTCCAGTACATTTGTTCCCGCGGAATATTGGCATATCGCGAAAAGGTACTGATCTTGTGAAGTAGATGGTGTTATTTTATTTGTTTCTCAAAGTTGTTTAAAAAATATTATTTTTATGACAGTTTTCTATATGTCATATAATAATATACTGCTAGCATAGTGCAGCTTTTATCAGCCTTTTTTATGTACAAGCCCATAAGGCCCTCACGCACACTATGTACATAAACAAAATGTAATAGCCATAAATAAAACAGATCCTGATATTTTCTTATCTAGTTTTTTTTGTGAAATCTGTTTCTCTTCTATTTAGTCTGTAGGTAAGCAAATGTATATGATCTAAAATGTCTTACAATATAAATATATTGCAGAGGGTTCAAGTGGATGAAATTATTGTAGCGACTAATGACTAAGTCTGTAAAACGACAAGATAAGCGACATTGTTATGCAAAGCTTATTAAAATAACGAATGTAAGTGCATCTCTTATTCGTTTTGGCTAGACGAGACTTTTGAACAAAGTTTCAGAAAAATGAAATAGAAGCCAAGAGATAAACAGTACAACTATTACAAAACAAAAAGAGGATTTATGAATTTTAAATTTAAATAAAAATATCTATGTAAACATGTATGTATGTATGTATGTTTGTATATATGTATATTTATATTATAATTAATGTTTGTAGTTTGTACCTACACCGCACCGCATTATTATTTTTATATTTTCTCACGCTTGAGGGTTTCTGGTAGAAATCTCTTAAAGAGATAAGTCATCCTTTGTACACATAGCATCTGTTTTAACTTGTATGTTTTTTTTCTGGTACATAAATAAATAAATAAATAAATAAAATAAATAAAATAACTATATAACATGAAAACTTTTTTGTGAAGGATGAAACACGTATGTCTGTTCTCAAAGCTTTTAATTTGTTTTTAAAATCAAAATTAAACATAATATAAGAAAATACAGGATATTTTTTGTTTAAAGAATAATGGGTCGCTTAAATCACTGGAATTATTTATTTCGAAAGGCGTATTCATATTCTTAGTAATTTAATGCCTTATTCATACCATACATTTAATTTGCATGGAAATAAACATAAAGAAATCCAACTTTTACTGCCCTTTAACACGTACCTTACGTTTAAAAAGCCTATAACATGAAAGGGACCTCTCAGTTCTATACTTGTTTTTATTTCAGTGGTTTTAGGAATAGGTACTTATTTTACAATGTAGAGATTTAATATTACTACATTATTATTACATCTAATTTTTTCTGCTATTTATCAAAGTTTTTGGTGTAATTTATACCTCTTTGAAACGCTTGTATATACTAAGTTCGCAACAGCTCAGCGTTTTAAGAATGCTCGATACTATAAACGCATAGAAGGAGATACACTAATATGCAGTTTAATTAATTAGTAAGATCTCAAAAAATATTTTTATATAAAAGTATAGGTAATATGTATATTGATTTTTTTAACTAAAATTCGATAAGAAAACAAGTATTAATATATCGTATATATACATTATTCATAACTTTTGTCGTTGCAAATTAAGACAATTGGTTAATTGGAATTAAATAATATTCTTCGTCTTAAGAAATTAAATTCAAAGAACCTTCAAAGCTTTACAAGCTTATCTAAAGGCCGGATATGTTTTGTGAAGAATTTACATCAAAAGCAAGTCGTAATATGTTAGAACCGTGATAAATGCTTGTAAGAAGGAAATGGAAATAATTAAAAACAATAAGGAATTAAAAGGATTCCGTTGTAAAGCTTTGTCGGTGAAACATATAAGGGACTCTGAATGAGACTTTTATTTGACTTTTGTGTTTTTTTTGAATTGTATTGGCTTTGGGAGGGACATATAATATTATATACTTAGGTAAATAAATAAAGGTATATATAAATATCAAGGTATAGTTTATATAAAAATCTGTAAGAAATCATTCAACTTCCAGATGCTAGAGATACCTAGTGTAATTTTAGCGAATCAAAAAGGACACAAGTTTTGCATTTTCTTGACTTGCAAATATGCAAGCAACTCAAAGCCACGCACTCAGCGTCAAATTCGATAGAAACGAATTGATAAATAAAAATCCTATCTCTTCATAGCCCATAAGCTATCTTATCGTTGCTTTTTCAAAATAGGATAAGCGAACAATCTTCGAAACACAGTTTCGCATTCATAATATTATTAGAAATTCGTGTATCATATATATAATCTGAATCTCGGAAACAGCTCCAACGATTTTCATGAAATTCAGGAGGGGGTTTCGGGGGCGATAAATCGATCTAGATTAGTCTTATATCTAGGGAAACGCGTGTTTTCGAATTTTCATGAGGTTTTCTTTCGCATTATTCCGCGCAAAATATGGTCGATAATTGCGCATGCTCGTGTCAAAGCATTATGGTCAAGCGGCCAAGGCACAAGATTGACAATCGTAGGTGTCCGTGTTCGAATCGCGGTCGTATTTTTTTTTGTATTTATTCAAGTTTTTAGTTTTTTTTAAAAGAACATTGTACTTTGGACCAAAAACTACGAGCGAAGCTCGGTCGCCCAGGTACTAATATTATAATGAACGCAAACGTAAAGTAAGTAGGAGCATAATTGTGCATAAAATAATATTAAATCTTAGCTTAAATGTTGTTCGGTATGTGCTTACTTAGAAAGTTCACTTTGTTGTACATTGGAGTTTATGTCTTCTGTATAGTTGAACCCATCTGAATCTGCCATTTTGAATGCCTGAAAAAGAAAAAAAAACTATTATTTATTACTTATAGCTTATATAAATATATACAAATATATTTATACTTTCAATTTGAAATTTTTGGTTTATTTAATAAAGTTATTGAAGAAAATAAAATAGAAGGGTCTTTAATTGTTTCAATTTGAAGTACGAATGTTTTAATAATAGACATTTACTTTTATAGCCGCATCTGTCGGTTACGTCATCTGAGGTTACCAGGACAATTTGTTCTAACCTCCACAATTAGGATCAAGATGAGACTTGATACGAAACGGCTCTTTAATAAGATCTTATAATAATAAAAAAAAATACTTTTATGTTTATTTCAAAAAATATTGAATATTGAGTTCCATTAACTTAGTTCTTAAGAAGCTGTATGAACATTTAAAATATTGCCCACAAAGTAACGTTTATAAATTAATCTTACAAAAGTATTGATAGATGTATATTGATTCTAGTTAATTAATCTAACAATCCCATATTCTAAACACTACACTTGATAATGTATTACATACTTTATTACGAGTAGTTATATATACACTTGGCACTCCTAACTTTTAACTGTCCAGTTCCGCCCCGACTAACTAGACATTGAAATTAGGATAAGGCCACATATCCTCTTTATATGCTAAGATCATAGGAAATGACTCAGGATTTGGCAGGACGCCTGTATATGGATAAAGTATCCTGTAATCCTATTTTGGTGTTTTAAATGAAAACGTTGTCGTAGGTGAATGAACGAATTATTTACAAAGCCGATATAAATGACTAATAACCAAAATTTGTCATTTTAAATAAAACTATCTTTTCGGATTTTGTCGCGGATTTATTAGCATTTTTGTTTCCCGACGTTTCAAATGCTTTACAGCAATCATGGTCACGGGAGAGACTGAGGTGTTAGATGTCTCTAAGGTATTATATAGTTGTTACAGACAGCCTACCCACAATTAACAAAATGAATTCAAAAAATTGAAAAATGGCACTAAAGTACCTTACAATATTTTAACTTTTAACTTTAAACATTTTTATATAATTTTATAAAAATGTTTAAAGTTGAGATATTAGTTTGAGATATTAGTTACTTATATTTCTGCTCATACAAATAATGCAACGTAGGTAATAGCGTATAAAAAATATCGCAAAGACGTGACGTCAACATGTAAATTCCAAAAAGGGCGATCGTTATGAAAAATTCTGTAATGAAATATTTACTCTAATTGTAAATATAGATTTAATGATTTAAACTATTGTTTAATTAATTCAAAAAAATTACGTTATTAAGAGAATTATTTAGGGACTTATACTATTTACAGTGTCTTTTTTTCTTAAATAGATAAGATAATATTATGATGGCCGTAAAAGTGTCTGTATAATTTAACAAGCGATTCAACCTCACTTCGCTCGGGTTCGTTTTAGGTACGTATTAACGGTTAGTATGGAATAGATATACTATATATTATATGATATATAACCTTCCTCAATAAACGGGATATCTATTGCAAAAAGATTTTTTCAAATCGCATTAATAGTTCGGATTAGCTGAGGTTAGGGCGTTCAAATAAACAAACAAACAAAAAAAAACAAACAAATAAACAAACTCTGCCTTTGTATAATATCAGTATAGATTATGAATTTACACACGTAAAAGTGTAGGTAGTTTCAATGTCAATGTCCGTCTCATTCTTCTTGTGTTTATTATATCAATGCTATTACGTTTATGTCAATAGATGTTTTTCTAACTTATTGTTAGTGTCTACACCTTCGACTCCACAGCAGACGAATGACGAAGGACCCAGTCCCAAAGAGTTCTTTTAAATAGAGCTCAATACTAATATACTAATCTACTATCTATACATATAACTAAATTCTAACTAAGCCGAATCTGTATATTAAATATTTTTTGGAAAATCTTATTGAAATAAACATTATTTTCGATACAGAGGCCGAATCTATAGTTTTTAGAATTTTTGTCTGCTTGTCTGTCTGTCTGTCTGTGTGTGTGAAAGTCGCTAGTTATAAAAATGAAGTTAACATTTTATGATATTCATTGCAATATTACTTGTGATAATAATAATAAAAAATTGAGGTAAATATGAAGAATGTAGAATTATGTAATACATTTTGACAAAGAAATAAGTTGCGGTTTATTTTTTATCAATAATTCATCAAATAAAAGTAAGTTTATGTAACTTATAAACATAATAGTTGATTTGCCAGAAATTATTCTAAGCGTAACAAATGAATGCGATACACGCGATTTGCATATCTATAAATAAAATATTAAGTTTAGTGTAACATTAAAAGCTTTAATGGCATACTATTTAGTTGACAATCAATTTTAATAGGGAAAATTTATTTTATTGCGAATAATTGTAGTTTTACTTATAATAAAATGTGTACATGTTTTAATTTTCATATTTTACATGAAACCTCCCTAACATTAGAGAATATAGGTATTCTTGAAGTTTATGGAACTTTTTTCACTATTAGATATAAAAGATCTTTTACTATTGGTGAAGATATCGCGTAACATAAAAAGAGACATACAATCCAATTGAGTACTTCCATTTTGAAAATAAAAAATATTTAGAAAATAAAAAGTGGGCATATAAAATATAAGCATATATGCCAAAATTTATAACTATACAAATATTTATGTAGTTCGTACATTTTTACAAATGAAGGTATAAAGCTCGTGTCTAGTAAAGTAAGTTAATTATAAGTTTTAAATAATATTTTTTCGTTGCATGTTTAATGTAACCCACATTTTAATACAGTTCTAAACGATCCGGTCCTGTGCCACTCCTTGGTTTGGTTGACTGAGTCTACACAATACTCGTGTCAATGTCCACAATATAATAAGGTTATATGAATTGAATCTCATTGCATAGATTATATAATAGATCGTTGAGAAATGAGAAACTACTATATGACAATCTGACGCCTGACTGGATATCATTGGAGGAATTAATCTCCTACAATGGCAGTGTTGTTATTTTGGGTGTATTGTTAGTGTAATAATTTAGTTGGAAAATATTACCTATTAATTGTATTAAGAAATATTCACTCTCTCCGAGAAAATTACATAATTTCAAAAATATAAATAAACAAAACAAAAAAAACATTTAAATATCTAGTCATACGTTGAAATACATTTAGTGAGCATCAAATGGTACACTTCGCTTAACATATTTAACCTTTATTTAATCAGGTTATAATAATTTTCATTTTCACATTTTAATTATTTGTGGCTCCTATCTTATTATTTAACAATACTTTATTTATATATTTATATTTAAAAAAAATGGCCGACTTATAAAAGATATAAAACGTATCGTATTCTAAAAAAATATACCTTTAACACCAGTTAAATCGAATATAGAACTACTACTATAAACGCTAAAGTTTGTGTGCCAGTAATATGTAGTTTGCCTTTATTCATGACAGTTATATAATACTAGAGTGGTATGTTTGAGTTTTGAAATACTGAAAACTTGGCGTCTTCATAAGACCGAGCATATTAATATATGTAGTTGGGATTATAGTACTCTTAGGAAGATTTATTTTCTTATTGTAAGCAGTGCTATTTAAAGAAAAATATATTATTATTGTGCATTTCTTTATAATATTATATACATAACAAATGTTATTAATTTATATGCACTGATACTTGAAGAGAAAACTTTGTATATGTATGTACTTTTTATACATATTGAGCGCACGGTATACCTATAACAATTTATTTTTCATTTTATAGCCTTATTATTAAGGAAGGTTAAGTAACTTAAACAAAAGGACTTTAATAACATTCAAATTTCATTCACATCGGTCGAATTTCAACCACAGGCTTCAACTTTCATTATTTTAGCACGAATTCTACAAATGATTCATTTGTTTAACCATTTATTAAGCGATTTTAACCGACTTCCATAAAGGAGAAAGTTCTCTTTTTTATGTATGTTCACCGATTACTCGAAGACGCCTGAATCGATTTGAATTTTTTTTATTTCAAAGGGTATACTTCCCAGGTGGTCCCATATAAATTTTATCGAAATCGGTCGAGTAATTTTTAAAAAAATCAACAATAAATATATTTTTTAAATAAATTGATTAATCGAATATTTTATTAAAAACTTTCTTCTTACAAATTACCTGCTTATATTACGTCTACACTAAAAATGGAAAAATAAAAACTTTTTAACCAAAAATAAAAACCGACTTCCAAGCACTTAAATGTAAAAAAATAACTAAACGGGGGTTTTTATTTAGAATCCTACCTAATCAGATATTTTCGAAGTCGGTGCCAGCCGACAATATTTTAAGATATAAATATCTACCTAATAGGTAAATATGTATTTTACGTATCTAAATACATTAGATTTGCTTTGCATCCTATGTCCTTCCCAGGGTCTCAAAATATCTTCTTACCACATTTCATCTATATCGGTTTAGTAGATCCAGAGATTACCCCCTACAACGTCACAAACTCACAATCTTACAAACCTTACCTCTTTATAATATTAGTACAGATTGATCTATACTTATTATTCTTGCACCGAATCTTTACTTATTGAACAGTTTGGATATCTGGTTAAGTATCTACAGCTGTTTAACAAAGATTAAAAATCCCCGCATGACCTATTTACTGAATGAGAACCAGTTTTAAAATCTGCATAGTCACATACGAACAAAGTGATGTCGGATTCCCTTTGCCAATTATGATTCAATACTAGCAAAGTTGCTTCTTACCCTTAAATTTTGATGAAAAAATAAACTTGATTTTTACTGCAGTTCTGTTATTGCCTCCTCTGAATGTGACGAGAAATCATAATTAGTACATACTAATACATGAAGTCTAAATACAAATTGTATATACTTTATATTCATTTTATTGAATGCTATCATATACATAGTGTATCTACATATTTAAAATTATTATTTACGGTATTTTATTAAGTACTAGCATTGCCCGCGGCTGCGCCCGATATCTGTATCC